GACATGTCAGCATAGCATGTAGAACATTCAAGCACAGCATGTAAAACATATGCTAGAAGATGATATTAAGTATGCAGTAAATTTAGCCAATACTATCAACGCTCTCCCAACGTTCTGCTGTTATTCTGAAACTCTTAGATTCCATGCATATATATTGATTAAGCCAAGCACATTTCAACTACATCATGTCACCTAAACATCGTGTAAGGCTTATATGATTATTACTTCATGATATAAAAAGATTCTGATGAAGTCAAGTGAGGAGGCAAAGGTCAGTTAGGCAAAGGCAGAGGTAGGAACTGAACCCATATCTTCTGATTCCAAATCCAGCTTTCCTCCCACCCACCTCATTCAACTGCACACACTTCTGGCTTCTTGTCCATTCCTTCCTATCTCCATTTTGTATTTCTTTCCTTTTCCTCCACCATCTGTATCTTCTGCATTCTCTTCCTTGATCCATTCTCTGATGAGATCCATTATCTCATCACTCAATCTGTTTCTCCTCTATAGAACTGTTATTAAAGTTCCTGAATTCTAAGAGAATTTTCTTAGAAGGATAGAAATGTGGGAAGGAAGTCTAATAATGATATCCTAAAACTAATGATGTTAAGACTAATAAAATGACAAAAGTTTTGCTTTTGTTGTTTGATTTTAAATGTATAAATCTTAATTAAAGTATCTGTGAGAATAGTGGCTTAAACAAACAAACAAACAAAAAACCCTGTAATCTAAAGAGGAAACACGGTGTGGTTTCCATTTTCTCAAGGGAGATACTGGGAAAATACTCACACTGAAAGTGTATCTGCAAAAGCTTTCCTACGCATTAAAAAAAAAAAAGGAACATAAAAAGTATTAGCTATTTGACACTCATAAAGCAGACTGAATTACTCTAGGCATTGCTGGGTACCTGGCATTTACTGCAGTCACTTGAGCTATTTTGATTTATGAGGGTTTAGCCCTCAAGCAGGTTAGGTTTAACGAAACTTGCTACCAAGTGCCTACTTAAGGATTCTTTCAGCAAACAAGAAGAAATATTCTTCACTTAGAGTTCATGCCACCAAGCCTCAAGCTTCACTAGGAATGAGGCATTTATTTCCAAAGAGCTTGCCCTCTGTTTTCTCCACAGCTTCCCTCAATTTACATCTCTATTAAAGAAACAAGGAGCTGAGAGATCACCTGGTCTGGCCAATTGCATGAAACGCACAGGCATGCAATCCAAACATTCCAGGGGTGTGGAGCTTCCATTCACCAGAACTGACCAGGAAGGGGAGTGTTCACTAGCAGATTATAGAAAACATGATTTTGATGTGCACTCTTCAATATTTACTGTGAGCCTTTGTGCCTCAGTTTTCCTACCTCTGAAACGGAAATAAAAACATCACTTATCTCATAAGATTGTTTGGAAGATTAAGTGAATTAATTCAAGCATAGCATGTAAAACATGTGCTAGAAGATGATATTAAGTATGCAGTAAATTCAGCTAATACTATCACCGTTCTCCCAATTTGTTCCTATAGGGCACCCAAATTGGTACAGTAATCTTTGCTGACAACCTTCCTCCCCATCACAAGTCTCACAAACAAACACTAACTTGTTCCTCTTGCCTTATTCTCTCTCAATCCTACCCTTTGCTAGTTAAAATAAAGTTCTACCAAGATAACTGGACAGATGAATTTGTAAGCCATCTAATGTATTCTCTCTCCCAGGGAAAGGCATACTATAATTCAACCAAAATTCATGTCTCAGAGAGATTCTTAAGCAATCACTTTAATAACAGACATTGGAGGCTAGCACATAAATGTTTTTTGATAAAATATCCTTTCTCAAGTGCCTGGCAAACACTGTTTCACTAAACCAGGTTATCACTTTTTTTTTTTTTTTTTTTTTGAGACAGGGTCTCATTCTGTCACCGAGGCTAGAGTACAGTGGTGTAATCTCAGCTTACTGCAGCCCAGACCTCCAGGGCTCAAGTAATCCTTCTACTTCAGCCTCCTGAGTATCTGGGATTACAGGCACACACCACCACACTTGTCTACTTTTTGTAATTTTTGTAGAGACAGGGTTTCACCATGTTGCCCAGGCTGGTCTTGAACTCCTCAGCTCAAGTGAGCCGCCTGCCTTGGCCTCCCAAAGTGCTGGGATTATAGGCGAGAGCCACTGCACTCCCAGCCTCAGCTAACTTCTTGATTCGTCTGCTCCCAATTTTAATTATGATCACAGGTAAACAGTATCTTGGGATGACAAACTTCCCTGAAATCTTTCTGGGTACATGTCTTCAATTTAGTTCGTGGACCACCAAACTATAACCAGAGAAAGTGAATTGAGTTGCAGACACATTGTTTATGCATTCAGTTGCATGGGATAAGTCACTTTACCTGTCTGAGCCTCAGTTTTCTCATCTGAATAATGGAAACAATAATATGTATTCACATTACCACAGCTGGAGAACCAAATCCAGCTCGTCATATCTTTTTGTAAATAGAGTTTTATTGGATCATAGTCATGCCCATTTGTTTATGAACTGCCTCTGGCTGCTTCTGTTGCGGAGTTGTGATAGAGACCTCATGGCCCATAAAGCCAAACAAATTTAACTATCTAGCCCTTTACAGAAAAGTTTGCCGACTCCTGCTCCAGAAGACTGCTGTGAGAAACCAGTAAGATAACTGACATGGAAATGCTTTGTTAACTGCAAATATTGATGTAAAATGTGAATCTTTATTACTGCCTTTTAAATGTCTACAGAATTAGTGTCACTCACCCTTGTAGCTGCATTCTTCCTAGCTAAGCAATCCCAAACACCTTGAGCCTGTTACCTATTAGGCCAATTAAAAAAATTTCTCTCGTTGCCTTTGTTGCTAGGTGGGGTATTTTTGGACTTGCTCCAGTTTCTCCTATTCATTTTTCTTTTACATTTTAATTAATGTGTAGTATACTGGAAAGGTTATTATCTGGTTCTCAAGTAAAGTCTCAGTTAATATAGCCAAGAACTGGGTTGGCTTTTTTTTTTTTTGAGACGGAATCACGCTCTGTCGCCCAGGCTGGAGTGCAGTGGCGAGATCTCACCTCACCGCAAGCCCCGCCTCCTGGGTTCACGCCATTCTCCTGCGTCAGCCTCCCGAGTAGCTGGGACTACAGGTGCCTGCCATCACGCCCGGCTAATTTTTTGTATTTTTAATAGATACAGGGTTTCACCGTGTTAGCCAGGATGGTCTCGATCTCCTGACCTCAGGTGATCCGCCCGCCTCGGTCTCCCAAAGTGCTGGGATTACAGGCGTGCGCCACCGCGCCCAGCCGGGTTGGCTTTTTAAATAACAGCTCTGTAATGAAGTACGCTTGGTCAAGTAGATACAGCAGGATCTAAAACCAGTTAAATCACTGTGAACATTTGGGCGAATTATTTAACCTCTCCTGACCTCAGCTTCCACATCTATAAAATGAGAGCACAAATTATATACAGCTTTGAGAGTTACTGTTGAAATTAAAACAGTGTATTTGTAAGCAAGCTGACTTATGCAAAATGCCTGGCACACAGTAGGTCCTTACACAATGCTGCGGATGTGGCTTCCTCATGTCATTGACAGAGAGACACTTTTCCATCACAGTCATGTCCAGATGATTTCAAAACTGTGAGTCCATTTATTGGGCATAAGTATCCTACCTTACATTTGTCCCTATTGAACTTCAACTTGCTTTTGATTTATTGAGGTCACTTTGACTTCTATTCCTGTCTTCTAAGGAGTTAGAATTTATGCTCTTCTGAATTTGTATTCTGTGAACCTCATTTCCAAAGGATGAAAGAACAAGAGAAAATACAGGTTAACTAGGGTCATAAGGCTAGCCGTCTAAGACAAAATTAAGTGCAGATTTGGCACAATTATTCAAAACCCAATATGACAAAATATTTTGGCTGTAACTGTCTAAGCCTTAAGAAAAGAAATACATTTTCCTATCAATTTTTCACTTCACACTGCGAACACAGACCAAGGCAAAGGGGTAGAAAGAGAAATGGGTGGTCAAAATTAACAGCATGCTTAGGGAACAAGGAATAGGGAACCTGTGACTTTCCTCCCCAGCAAGCTCTCCCTGATTTTTAAATGCTTCTGTCTTACCAAGGTTTATTTTGAGAGTGTTTTTAATCTGAGATATTTTATCGGCTAAAACCTTATTTATCCTGCTCCATTTTCTGTATTTTCCTCCAGCATCTTTGATTCTCAGCATTTACAGCAAGCACCGGATCTCTCCTATAGCCCGAAGCTTGTTAAACTACCGCAAAATAAGATATAAGCACCTCATTAATTACCATCATCAAGAGAATTAGTGTGCCTATCAATAAATATTAAAGTTGCACATTCTGTCTCTAAAGAATGAACTCGCCATGCACAGGTACTGGATGCCTTCCCACCTGAGACAGATCTCAATCACAGAAGACAAGGAAAGCCCTGGCGGCAGATTCTATTTTAATCCAAGGATTTGGGGAGGGACTTTCCTGCCAACTAAGGATTAGTTTTTTTCCTTAGAGCCTTGTGACTTTGAAAACCAGCTAAAAATGCATATCAAAATGTAAAATGCCTAAATCAGCATTGTGGGAATCATTTAAAATGTACTGACAAAGCTGCTCTTATAAGTTGAGATATTAATTCAACATTTTTAAGTAAAAAAAATTAATTACATTGAAATACACAAAAATGTTTGGAAGAAAGGCTTTTTGCTCAACTGCAATTTCTAATTTTCTAATAACACAACCATTATACTAGTTCATATTTACTGAAGTTATTATGTACAACACACTGTATTGAGAAGTGTAGGTGCTCATCTGTTCACCGCCACAATGCTATGAAGTCTGTGCTATTATTATTTTATTCACCAAAAATGTGGGGCTTAAAGAGATTGAGCAACTTGCTATAGATCACAGATCTGTGTTTAAAAATCAGCTGCATACATGGGGGAAAGAATACCGAACAATTCTAAGAATATGCTCCAAATGATACAAAATTATATACCTGTAAAAGAGCTTATTGCAGTCTTAGGTTGCATTAATTGAAGAAGATGGTCCAGGAAAAAGGAGGTAATGACCTTGCCCAAATCCTTGGACCTCAGAATTCCTCCAGGGGTCTGTTTTCAGTATGATGAACACAGTTTACGTGGAATATGGATAAACCAGGGGGAACGTGGCCAAGACGACAGGAGGGCTTGAGTCATGATATCGGAGAGATGACTGCAGGAACTAGCAGTAGTAGCCTGGAAACAGAAGAGTATCAGGCTTTGTGAGAGACTGTAGATGGTCTAAAAACAAGAGCATAAGCTGGGCTCCAGTTTCCCCTTTTTCTCTTATTAGTACCACAATGTAGAGTAAGTTATTTAACCTCTCTCTGTCTCAGTCTTCTCATCTCTAAGATGGTGCTAATAATGGCATACAGTTCTTGAGGGAATTTAGATGAGATAATACAAATAAATTACTGTCCATTGCACCTGACATTCGAGAAGCTCCTAGCAAATGCTAGCCACTAATATTATGGTTGCTGTCATCATTGCTTCTGCGGTTCTTAAAATAGAATGGTGATTTCCAAAATCACTGCAGAAAACTGGTCTCCCAGGATAAACAGGTGACTTCATGGTTCCAAAGGTTTGGGAAATACCAACTTACAGAAAGTTAAGCAAGATTTTTACTCTGCGCATGTGGCTCTCCAAGAAGAGGTAAAAGTATGTAACAATTCCCAGCTGTGTTTCGTTAGGATCATTTTTAAAGAACACTCCTTGGAAGGAGTGTGTTCTATGAGCTTTGGGTCCCAAGACCACAGAAGAGTCTACATCGTCATAAGCTATGCCCATCATCATCTGATGTTGATGAAGCACACCCCAGAGAACCTGCCCAGAGGTTTCGGGACCCATAAGGAGTAAAGAATAGCTGAATGTGGTGAAACGGGGAGGCAGGCCACTGGGCAATGAGAAATGTGAAAATGTGCCTGGCTGGACACAGGGTGTGAGGCAAGCAGCAGCTCATTTGAGAAACTGGTGGAGTAGTCCCCCCAGTAAAAGCTTACTTTTAAAGTAAAATGGCCCAGATAAACCTGAGATCCATTAAATGAGGCCTGGAAATAAGGTTGCCCCATATAGACTCAGCCACAGATGTATGAATGAATAAAGAAATGAATGAATATTTTTATTTCAAAGTTATCCCCTTTCCTATAAAACATATCATAAAAATCACACCATTATTATTACCATTGATTACCATTATTGTTAAAATTATCAACAACATCCAAAAGAGTATCACCTGAGCCTTTATGTTTCAAGCTGAGTATATCACATAAATCAGGCTCTTTTGATTCCTACGTTTTTATTTGTTGGCTTAACCTCCAGGGCTCCATTGGACTAAGTAACACTACACAAAAACAAGTTCCAAATGTGAGAGATTCGACAGAATCCAGGACAGGCTTTGTGTGGACAAGGATTTTCACATGCGTATTCAAAATATTTGCTGTCAACGGTACTTGGTGAAAGTGATTGTTACATACAGCATGGCTAACTTTTTTATGTAAATGAAATGCAAATGTATGCAATGTTATCTTTAATGCAGATGTAGCAGAAAGTATTAAGATATGCTGAGAGCCTAATTAGGTCCTACATCAAAAACTATATATAAACTTGACTCCAATGTCTCAAGAACACAAATTGAGTCTAGAAATCCCAGTTTGCAAGCTTAAAAAAAAGATGTACATATATATTTTAAATCACACTTCTTTTTCTTCTCCCTTCTCTAAGTCTGAACACTTGAAAGGATGATCTTAGACAGCTATTTCAGCATGGGGGAGGGGGTGTGGAGTGGGTGGGAAATGAACAAGTTTCTTTCTAACAAAAACCAGGAAGCAAGAAAAGAAAACCAGCCACGAGCCCCCCAAAAAGGTAAAACAAAGCTGTCTTGTGCTTTCCATCTTCATATTAAAAGTGACGACGTGCCAGAAAGCATATTTTTGCATTTATTTCCATTTCTAACCTTCCTGGAGACAAACACATGTGCATTCCTTCCTAATCGCTGTTACCGTAAAACCTTAGGAACTCCAGTTCCACCAGTTCTCCATGCTGATCCCTCTGACAGGGGTGAGTGCAAGTTTACTTTTATTTAAGGAGTGAAAGGGTTGACAAAACAAATAAATACCATACAAAGCATTGCAGCATGCCTGCTCAACCTACATGATATAAGCTCTTCTTAAGCACTTAGAAGCATTGTTCATATAGAAAACTATTCAACTGTCTTTTCTATTTATTACAATAGATTCTTCAAAAGAACTCTCTTGTGTGACACTTTGTCAGCCCCTTATATTTTACTATGCATAGTAGAAAAGTGGGGGAACTGAACATCTTCGTAATTGTTCATAATCCAGGCTCCTCACTAATCCTGAGGAGTCTTGCCTTCTGATTCCTCAGCAAAGTGTAGCAGGCTTAGAGTGGCAAGTACCTGGGGCCTCTCTTGGCTCTAGCTGTGACTTGCTCTGTGTCCTTGGACAGCTCAGTGGCTTCTTTCCTGCTAGTTTTACGGGGCTTTTCTTTCCCCATTAACATTCTAAAATTGCTTTGGGAATCAAAATAGAAAAAAAAGGATGCAGAAACAATCAGAAAAGTATGGAAAGTACTTTATAAATGTAAGGTGTCACTGGTCTCTAAATTGTGAGGGCGTGTGGGAGCACACGTGTATGTGTAGTGTGTAGTGCAGTGAAATACTCCACGTGCACATGCATATATATATTTGGATTCATAAATATTTACATGTGTATATACATCTGCATGCATGTATACACTAAGCATGCATGTATATACTATACTGAGCTCATATAAAACATGTGCATAGGTACTCATGGATAAGTACAGATGTATATATGAATATACTGACCTCGGAGTAATCATACATATAACACATATGCATATATATATGATGAGATACTCATATATACATATGTTGACACATACCAGAGACACACATCCTCAAAAATGGTGAGGATGTATATATCTATCTCTGCCAATGCACACATTAAATGTGCATGTACCTGAGCTAATTAACCTGTGCACCTTGCCATAGAGAATACCTGAAACAGCCTAAGACAAAATCTAGACCTATGTATCCAGGCTGAAGGGCTTAAAGCAAACAGAGCTTATCCAGCTCTATTCCCCTCTGAGTTTTCTTCCATCTTATCTAATACACCCTCTGAAAAGAAGGATCTTTTTTAGTTCTGCTAAGATCCCCAAATGCTCTTAACATCTCCAAAGCTCTCTAATACAAAAGGACCCAGTTGCTGCAAGGCACAAGAATTGCACTGGCTTCACAGCACCACAGAACATGCCCAGCGGAATACATTACACACCGCTCCACGCAGCTCCTCTGAAATTGATATTGCTGGCATCACTCGCCCCAAATTTCTAACATTGTCATGATAACCCCATTTGTTCTCAGGCGCTGCTTCCCACATTTTAAAGTAACAGAATTTTCCCCATGTCTGTCCTTCATCATGCCCTTTCTTTAAAGGAAAAAAAAAAAAAAAGTCTTCCCCTGGGTTCTTCCTCCATTTTGTGTAGTAATTCCTGGTGTTGTCAGTTGATTATCAAGTATATAGCAAACATTATTTCCTGCTAATATACAATCTGTGCAATTTTAACCAGGCTTGCACCCCAAGCTGAGGACAATGGAAGGTTTTGTCTTCGCGCTAAATAGTTTGGTTCAGAGGATAATTGTTAGAGATGCTCAGAAGATGTGGGGTTGTTCTGGGCTGGAGAAGTTAGTGAAGTGGGGGAAACCCGTTCTGCCCCACTCTGACCTTTTCCAGCACTCCCCTCAAAAGAAGAAACCATTCAGCTACTTCAAGTCTCTTAAATCTGTACTTTTCCATGGGTACCGTACTTTCATGCACCTTGCTTCTCCTCTGTCCCACTCTCCTAATGCCCATCTACCCTCCTGATGGGTTCCTGGTGGTAGCCTGACCACCTCTCCAATGGCTGGTCACTGACGGGGCCTGCCTGCCCCCAGAATTCACCTCCAAAGCACAGCATGCTCCTGGTGCCTTTGCCACTTCTCAAAAAGCTTCTGATTTCTGCTCTGACACCAACTTCCTGTCCTCTGACCTCCTCTCTTCTCTCTCTATATCCTTCAACACCACCCTTCAGCATTAACCACTGAAGGAATGGCTAACCTCTCTCAGAGGCTCCAGATTCACATTTGCAAGTGTCTGCTGGACATCACTGAGAGGTGACAACGTGCTAACAGCCCTTGCTCCAGGTGCCTCCTCAGCCTCCGCGTCCACTCTGGCGGTGCCTGAGGAGCCCTTCAGCCTGCCACTGTACTGTGCGAGCCCCTCTCTGGGCTGGCTGAGGCCGGAGCCGGCTCCCTCTGCTTGCTGGGAGGTTTGGAGGGAGAAGCGCCGGCAGGAACCACGGCAGCGCGTGACGCTCATGGGACCACCAGAGTTCAGGCGGGCGCGCGCTAGGAGGGCCCTGCACTCGGAGCCGCCTTGGGCTCGGCTGGCCCTGCCAGCCCAGGGCAGTGAGGGGCTTAGCACCCGGGCCAGCAGCTGGGGAGGGTGGGCTGGGTTCCCCAGCACTGCTGGCCCACTGGGGCTGCACTCGAATTCTCGCCGGGCCTCAGCAGCCTCCCGGCGGGGCAGGGCTCAGGACCTGAAGCCCACCATGCCGGAGCCCCCTGCGGTGCGCTCCTGCTGGGCCGGAGCCTCCCTGACAGGCGCCACCCCCTACTCAGCAGCGCCTGGCCCCTTTGACCACCTAAAGGCTGAGGGGTGCAGGCAGGTGGTGCGGGACTGGCAGGCAGCTCCACTGGCGGCCCTGGTGCGGGATCCACTAGGTGAAGCCAGCTGGGCTTCTGAGTCAGGTGGGGACTTGGCGAACTTTTGTCTAGCCAGAGGATTGTATATGCACCAATCAGCACTCTGTGTCTAGCTCAGGGTTTGTGGATGCACCAATCAGCACTCTGTATCTAGCTAATCTCGTGGGGACTTAGAGAACCTTCATGTCTAGCTAAAGGATTGTAAATACACCAATCAGCACCCTGTGTCTAGCTCAAGGTTTGTAAACACACCAATCAGTGCTCTGTGTCTAGTTAATCTGGTGAGGACTTGGAGAACTTTTAGGTCTAGCTAGAGGATTGTAAACGTACCAATCAGCACCCTGTCAAAATGGACCAATCAGCTCTCTGTAAAATGGACCAATCAGCAGGATGTGGGTGGGGTCAGATTAAGGGAATACAAGCAGGCTGGGGGAGCCAGCAGTGGCAACCCACTTGGTTCCCCTTCCACACTGCACTGTGGAGGCTTTGTTCTTTTGCTCTTTACAATAAATCTTGCTGCTGCTCACTCTTGGGGTCCACGCCACCTTCATGAGCTGTAACACTCACCGCGAAGGTCTGCAGCTTCACTCCTGAAGTCAGTGAGACCACGAACCCACCGCAGGAAGAAACTCTGGACACCTCTGAACATCAGAAGGAACAAACTCTGGACACACTATCTTTAAAAACTGTAACACTCACCGTGAGGGTCCGCGGCTTCATTCTTGAAGTCAGTGAGACCAAGAACCCACCAATTCCGAACACATCACCACAGAATGTCCCTTTGTAAAGTATCAATGAAACCAGCTCTGAATGCTGCATCTTCCTTCCGAGTCCTAATAGGGCTGCCACTGTCCGAATTTTGCAAGTTTGAAATGCTTCATCTATGTCTTTCTATTCCCCTTTCTTTAGGACTCCACATTAAGTCAGCATCTCAGTATCACCTCCACATAGCTTCCCACCTCTGTCACTTACATTCCATCCTCTCTCCTACTACTCAAGTTCAGACCATCCCACCTGCAGCCCAGGATGAAAGCTCTCTCTTTGCCCCAGTAGCAGCTAGCATCTTACCACGGAAAGCATGTACACACTGGGGAAAGAAGAGCCAGGACTCTAGTTTGGAATTGCTGCTTCTTCACAGATAGACTTTGGGCAGTGACTCAATACTTTTCAGGCCCAATATTCACATCTCTAAAATGTGAATGAGGCTCTTTTCTTATTGCTTATTGAAGATAATAATGTCTGGCTATTGTTACAACCATGAAGGCCTCCCTCCTCCAATCCAGATGCTTCCAAAACCTTCACCCTCAGAGAGACTGACCAAGGAATATCAACAAAAGGCCCTCACATCTTTATTTTGAAAAGTTTCCCAGGCAGTCTTGGTGCACAATTAGATTTTGTAGTCTCTGCTCTAATCCATCATTGAACTTGAAGCTGGAATTCCCTTCCTAAAGCATAACTCAAATCACATTATTCCCAAACTGAGAAACCTTCAAGGGCTCTGTATAATTTCCTGAGGACATTTTAGGCCCCTCATCTATCTTTTCTCCTTCCCAAATGGTAACAGACTCTTGTGCTAAATTAGGCTATTTCTTGCTGCCTCTCAGTTATGACGAATTCAGTTGTATCAGAAACTCAACTGACAGTGGCCTAAACAACTAAGCATTCATTTATTTCCACATAAGATGAATTCTGGGGGCAGATGGCTTTGTGCTTTGCTTCACTGGTTGTACAAGGTCAGGGATCCAGGCCACAGTTGGTAATTCTCTTGGTCTTCCCCTCAAGGTGGGGAGATGACAGTAGCAGCTGCGGCAAACACCAAGTCCACACCTGTGTTCCAACGCTGGGGACGGGAGAGGCCTGCACAGAGAGGTCCTCCTCAATGCCCCTTCTCTAATCTATTGGTCATAACTGGATCACATGGCTACAAGGGAGGCTGGAAAAGTGACTGCGATGTTTCAGCCTCTATAGTGGGAGACTAGAAAGGGAGAGGCTCTGTGAATGACTATGAGTAAGCATTTATTAGAAACCCCTAAATACACCCTCAGTATCACTGCCTAAACTTAGAATTGTCCTTCTTTTCCAAACCTGTGTCTATTTAAATAATTATAGCTAACATTCAGTAAGTGTTTGCTATAGACCAGGCAGTGCTTCGAATGCTTTATGGGTATTAGTTCTTAATATTTACAATAAATCTGAGGCAAGAGGATTATTCTAGCAATCGTACAAGTAAGGACACTGAGGCTGATCGAAGTTCAAACACAGGCAACCTGACCCTGGATCTCACACTCCTAGCCACAGCACAACACTGCCTCTCAAGGAACAGCTTAAGCATAACCGTCTCCATGAAGAGGATCTTGCATGCAATCCCCCTAGCAGATGCACAATTTTCTTCCTTAAAATCCTCTGATGTACTTCTCCTATGGGGAAGACCATGATACAATCCAAAGAAGGGCATGTCTGAGATGCACGGAAGCACTATTAATAATTACAACAGGAAAACATCCTGTCCTACGCAAACCAGGATGTATGAACATCCTATCTGTGGTCCTAGCCTTCGGGAGAGTGCTTGTGTACACACCACATTTCTTCTTACTGGTGCACTGGGATTTTGAGGGTGGGCTCTACACATGAATGGTATATCACCTGGGTGGGCTTCATATGGTGCTCTGCTCAGAGTAAGTGCCCTTGGTCAGTTAGCTATGTGCTGACCCAAGGGAGCCTTGAAAGATTGATAGGATGTCCTTACACAAGGGACTACAGGGTGGCATCTGTAGAGAGTGGGAAAGGTGAAGGCTCTATATCAGATTGCCTGTATTCACATGCTAGGTCAACCATTTGCAGCCTCTATGATTTGGGACATTTTGCTTCACTACTATGTTGACTGAGTTCTCCTGTCTGTAAAATCATGACAACAAAATAAATTTCCCTACAGCATGTTTGGGACCACTGAGTGAGCTAATGCATGTAAAATGCTTGCAACAGAAAGACTCCAAATTTAGGCAGCTATTAATTAGTTAATACAAACATGTTCATTAATTTGTGGGAAAAAATGTATATGAGTAGAAAGGGGCATGGCAATTGTGTCACATGCTAAGGTATTACAGGAAGATAAGTTTGGATTGCGAGTGTGGCTGCTGGGCTTGACCTGATAGGCACCATCTTTCTCCCAACGCTTTTAAGAACAGAGCTCAAAGTTCAGAGTGCTATCTTTGTTTTCATGCCAGTATTTCAATGGTGCACACACAGACACACATCCTGCTGATGCAAAATCTGCTACAGACTGGGATGGGGTCATATTCAGAGCCCTGCCATGAAAAATAAGACTCCTTTCTGTACTTTTGTGCTTTCTTATTTCAAAACTGGGTAAAAATGTGACCCCTTAGATATATCGTGGCAAAGATTGTACAGATTTAAGTAAAATGGTTAACTGAGAGTTAACCGGTGAATTCTACTCTAAACCAGGTGTGTGGTTTTGCTGTCTGGAGGTAGAAGAAAATGGTATGTTGAACATAAATGCAGGTTTGCATCTTGTCTTTGGCTCCTTAGGTAAGAGATGCAGGGAGGCAGCAGTATCCCTAGTGGTAACCAATGTTTAAGAACTGACAGGCCAGGCACGGTGGCCAAGTCAACAAGGTGAAACCCCATCTCTACTAAAAATACAAAAAAAATTAGCCAGGCATGTTGGCGGGCACCTGTAATCCCAGCTACTTGGGAGGCTGAGGCAGGAGAATTGCTTGAACCCGGGAGGTGGAGGTTGCAGTGAGCTGAGATCATGCCACTGCACTCCAGCCAGGGCAACAGAGTGAGACTCTGTCTCAAAGAAAAAAAAAAAAAAAAAGAACTGACAAAACTTATATTAGTCTGTTTTCACAGTCTTGATAAAGACATACCTGAGACTTGGGGAAAAAAAGAGAGAGGTTTAATTGGACTTACAGTTCCACATGGCTGGGAGGCCTCAGAATCATGGCAGGAGGCGAAAGGCACTTCTTACGCAGTGGGAGTAAGAAAAAAATGAGGAAGATGCCAAAGCAGAAACCCCTGATAAACCCATCAGATCTCATGAGACTTATTCTCTACCACGACAATGGTATGGGGGAACCACCCTCATGATTCCAATTATCTCCTACTGGGTCCCTCCCACAACACGTGAGAATCATTCCAGATGAGATTTGGGCGGGGACACAGAGCCAAACTATATCACTCAGCTTTTGCAGGGATATGGAAAGGCGGGATAATCTCAGGATCAGTTAGAAACCTTTAAGACAGCAAACCTGTTGCTGGTGTTCCTCTAGTGCTCCAGGTAAGAGCTTTGGATATTTTTGTCTAAGCATATTTGGGTTTCCTCTCATGTGAGTGGACACTGAAACAAACGAATGAACTAGCTATGAGAGATGCACCTTTATTCATTGTAATCTCAACCCCAACTTCTTCCTTTTCATTATTTCACATGGGATGAGAGACCTTATCACACT